ACCACCACAAAATAACAGGAATTAACAATCATCGGTCATTATTGTTTTTGGTATCAATGGACACAATGCCTCCATGAAAAGATCCAGACTAGAAGATTGGTGTGAAAACAGTACCCATCCTTCTGTTGCATACAAGAAACAGTACTAATATCAAACGTAAACATCACCTCAATATCTCAGAATAAAGCACTGGTCCAGTAATTTCCAGGCAAAGGGATATAAGAAGCAGGATATTACCCTTCAAAACTAAAGTCTAAGTGGATCAAAGACCTCAATATCAAACCAGATTGATCAACAGATGGGAGCAGATACAGAGACCCACAGCTAAACATTAGGCAGTGCTCCAGGAAGCTCAAATAAGAGAGGGAAGGAAGAATTGTAGGAGCCAAAGAGGTCAAAGGCATCACCAGAACATAACCCAAGGATTCAAGTAGAATGGATCATGGCCTTCAGTTACAGAGACTGAAGAGTTCATCAGGGAACCTGTATGGGTCTACGATAGTTACTCTGCATAAGTGTTATGGATGTATAGCTTGGTGTTCTTCTTGGACTCCTGGAATTGGGAGTTGGTGCTGTCTCATTCTTATACCTACACTTAGGACCCTCTTCCTCTTATACGGTTTCCTTGTCCAATGTTGATACAAGCTTATGGGCCTAGGCTTAGTGTTACTTTTTGTGCTTTGCTCTGTTAATATCCCAAGGAGCCTTGCTCTTTTCTGAATATGAAATGAATGTAGGAGAAACTGTGATAGGGATATAATATATGAGAGAAAAATAAAAAATAATCCTTGTCAATTGTTAGGAGAATAAACACAGGGATTCAGCTTTAGAGCTATCATCCAGTGACAAAATAGAAAATATGCTATTTGTGTTTCTGGGTCTGGGTTACCTTGTTCAGTATGAGATTTCCTGGTTCTATCTGTGTCAATATTAATTTCATTGCTATTTATCTTTGAACAGTATTCGACAGTGTACATGTGTTAAAATTTCATTATCCATTCATCAGCTGAAGGACATTCAGGTTGTTTCCATGGCCTGGCTATTGAAAATAGAGCAGCAAAGAACATGATTGAACAATCATTTATTCCATAGGACGTCAAGTTCTTTGGATACATTCCAAGGGGTGGAAATGATGTACATATAACAGTTATGTATGAAATTCTCCATATATTTAATTTACAAAGATATCATCTTTTATAAAAGAAAAAAAGATGCAATCTAACTATGAAAAAAAGAAACTCTGGGTAGAAAATATTTTGAATTTTGAAATGAACTAACAATAACATAAAATTTTTGTATACCACCCCCACAGACAAAAAAATCAGCTACTGAATTGGAAGAATATATGGGCCAGCTTGATGTCTAAGTTGGCAAAGGCTCTTTCTGCCATGCTTGACTCTCTGAAAACCATTGCCAGGATGTACATGGTCATAAGAGAAAATTGATTTCAGCAGGATTTCCTCTACCTCCACACTAGTGTCATGGTGCATGTAAACACACACACACACACACACACACACACACACACACACACACACACA